TATGATGTTCAATAGCATTAAAGTTACAAGGATTACCAACAGGGTGCAGCACTATTATTTCTTTTACATTTATGACAACAGCTAATTTGCAACCAAAATGTGAGTGAGCGTAGCGAACGAACTTCAACCTGGAGGCGAGTTAGCGTAGCGAACGAGCTAACCTGAAGGCAAGTGAGCGCAGCGAACGAGCTCCAACCTAAAGGTGAGTGAGCGTAGCGAACGAGCTCCAACCCAAAGGTGAGTGAGCGTAGCGAACGAACTTCAACCAGGACGTGATTGAGCGATGCGAACGAGATCATCTTGAAAATTAAACATAACTTAGGCGATACGAAGTTCGCCGGGTCAGCTAGTAGATATATAAAAATTTGAACGAATGGTGTTTTTGGCCTCTGGGGACATCAAAATGAAAAAGTAAATCGTTCCCGGGCCTAGGTCTTACCATGAGACCTACGGTAATAGCTACTTCCCTATAGGGAAATTCGCTAAAAGTCATAGAACACAACCAAGTAGAAGAAATAGAAATAATTTTTTTTTACACTAAAAACAAAAAAAAAAAAAAACAAGATCAGCTTTTTGAAAAAAGATAAGATATTTACAAAAGATTTTGATTATTTCCAACTGTTGTGTAGATCGTGAGTATTTCCATAATCGTTGAGTCACCTGTAATGCTTTGCAATTGCTCGAATTCGAGCAACAGGTACACTAGTTATACATGAATTTGACAATTGCTGGCTGTCAAACTTAGTTATAGTTATCTGGTAATAGTGAAGGCCAGGTCCTACATTATTAGATTTAACTACTCGATAGGCCTAGTTCAATTTTTTCTGCCAAGGGGGGTGGGGTTGCACACCCACGTGTAACCTGGCTGTTTCCACCACTGTTTCAGGCCTGTGCGTGAAATAAAACAATTGAACAGGTTAGCCAGTACAGTACTGATAAAGTGTTGTACGGTAGCAGATATAAGGATCCAAACCCTTGACATCGTTACCATGGATTCAAAGTCCATCAGTCTACAGACTGTGCCATTGACTTCAATCGATTTGTTGAACTGGGCCAGATCAATTATAACCAATGGGTTACATAAAATCTATGGTTATTAACTGGATTTAACTTAGGCCTATTATCTCCATTAAAGATGGCTAACATTAATGATACCTACCCCACCATCAGACAATAGGTACCGTAAGTACTGTCTACGTTAGGTGCATGGGAAAAAATAATCAACTTATTGTTTTCTTTTACCTGTGATAAGTTAGTGGTCCCTTAAGTTATTTTCTAAGTTTAATTTTTATAGATTTGTAGTTACCTTAGTGCACAGTGACGACAAAGGAAATTGTATTGATCCTTAACTATCTAATAAAACAAACAAATTCTACAGGGTTCCATTCCATAGGCCTACCTGATTAATCCTTTTAAGGCGCTCTTAGTTTAGGTTATGCCGATATCCAATTAGCAGCCAATGCCAGTAGCAGCTTTGAAGTATGGATGAAGGAGATCGTATAAGTTATTACGTTTGCACATAAATGAACTATAAAAAAAAACGTAAATTATAGGATATAAATGAAAATACAGCACAAGCACGAAAGTCTACAACAGGACCGATACACACCACACAGAAACAGAAACAGACGCCTTTGGCTTTGACTCATGAGCATGACGTATACGTGATGACATGATGACAACGAGAAGAAGACGAAGACAATGACAACCGTCGCAGTGTTGCCACTTGACAGTTCCAGTCAGTTAGTTGCCACCTCGTTGTTGCGATTTTACCCTAAGAGCGGGCTAAAATTACCCTAAATGCTAATATTTATGTTTAATGCTATATAACATTGTTAAGAAATTATAACTCTTACCTAAGGGAGTATGTTTTATCTATGCTCTTACATAAGAAGGTTAATTGTACTAAATAAGGTTTTAATATCAATCAATATACGTAAAATTATACTCGATTCTCGAAAACAACCCTAAAAAAGTACAAAAAGTTGATATTCAGCTCTAGGTATCGCATAAATATATAATATATCAAACCAAACCAGGAATTACTGTTTTTTTATGTATTGACCCATTACTACCTTTTTGGACCATCATCGCTTTATAATACAGTACGGTACCAAAGCTTTAATCTAGATACTGTACACATCAGTGTACACTCAGTAATTTTTTGACACAATCGGTAAAATACTAAATAATCCTAATGTATAATTCAACTCAATCACAACTAAATAGCAATAAAGAAAAATTGAATACCTATTACTGTATTTCATACTTTTTCCTACAGTTACCTAACAATGTACATGTTCTCTCACTGATTTGAGAAAGCAAAGTGGCCAATTCGCTCACCAGTGAGACAATGTTAACATTGTCTCACTCCAGATTTGCAACGCGAAGGCACGAAATAGTGAGCGCGTAACATGCAGACTAGGTCGTATGCGCGCGAAATACGTTGGCAGCACCGGCTGTAAATCAGCTGGTCAGCTGTTGTACTGTTGTATCATTCAATGTCATATTAAAAGTTCACTTCTGTGTAAACATATGTCACGTTTCTTTACCAATTTATTTGTTTTATGGTAACTGTACGAAAAATATAATGTGCAAGTCGAGTGCAAAGTACAATTGCCTCACTCGAGAAACCATTCCTCACTCGCCTACGGCTAGTGAGTAAGTATTTCTCTCGAGTGAGTCAAATACTCCCTTTGCTCACTAGTTGCACAAATAACTATATTATATAACGTGTTATAGAATCAAATACATTCTAAAACAGATAATTCACGACTATTGATAAGAAATATTATTGTGGGACATAGCAATTGATTTAAACCGTTGAGTCGCGTATCACGATTTCGGTTTGCCATCCTTATATATAATACGTTAAGGCGATTTCTACGAAACACTACTCCTCCGTAAATAACGGACGGATTTTTAAAAACGACGTGTCAAAATAAAGTATTTTTTGTGTGGACGCCCCCTTTCAACAATTCCTTTAATAAAAATCCTCGGGCTTTACCCCACAGGCCATCAAAGTTGGAGTTTCTCCCATAAGATTAACATGGGGAAATCTAAATATTTAACTGGAAACTTTGTCCCCACTAATTTGAGAGAACGGCTGGGCGTAGAAACTTGGTAGATGTGAAACATGTCACCATAGATAAAACCATTGACTATATATACATACAGTGTATAGTATATACAAGAATACATAGTCAATGATAAAACCTACTCGTTTTATCTATGATGTCACTTACCGTTAAGAATATTTTTTTAGAAAGCTAGCGTGGTGTCTTTCTACGCCGGCCTTGAAGAGCCATAGAGAGAGAAATATTTTATGCAACTTCGTGTTTAAAACACGAAATTTCGACTTTAAAACTGGAAATTTCGACTTTTAAATACGAGGTATCGACTTATAAACTCGAAATTTCGACTTTCAAACATGATATTTTGACTTTTTAAACTCGAAATTTTGATATTTCAACACGAAATCTGCAGGGGAAAGGGAACCGCGGGTCTTCCTCAGTTCCTCATTGGCATTGGGAGTTGGACTTGAGCTATGTTCGTTGTAGGCCTAGCATAGATTAAACGAGTATGTTTAATCGATGATTATAGGTTCTATCCAGCTTGAATGCATTTATAGCTGCCTATGGTGCCGTCCAGATGCAGATCCCCTCACTTCGTTTTGAATATAGGAAAGAAAGAAACTGCTTGAAAATCTGAATAGTTTTGTCTTCTATATCGTCCAATCGCTGACAGTTTCCGATTCAACTGTCTCTCACTTATTACAATATTATCTTTTGAGAATAAAATAGCTAAAATCTCTGCATTATGAAGCCCTAATATAAAATAATCTTGGATAAGGCGTTCTTTGTGACCTTCATCCATTATACGACAGTACGTAATCTTCTCCAACTCCCAACACCTAGCACTTCGTGATATGAATAGTACAGCGGTCATTAATTCCATCCGCCAATGACATAAATTTCGTGTTTAAATTTAAAAGTAGAAATTTCATGTTTAAACCATGAAGTTGCGTAGAAACCTTTCTTTATCTATGGCCCTTCAGTGCCGTCGTATACGCCTTGGTCGTATTTTCTTTATTTTTCTCAGTCATTTCGCTAAATTTGATTGTGATTGAGATTGGATTGGATTGAAGTTCAGTCAGTAGTTCAGTTCGGTTTTTACTCAGGGGAGGTATAGATAAGCTTACGTTGACAGCTGAGGCACGGCCGCCTTTAACTACAGGCCGCGGCCTGGTAGAATTGGCAACATCGCATGTGGTGTTGTTCAGTGACAGACGTCCCATAAGATAACATGGCAGACAGGTGACATCAGCTCATTAATTCGCACTTTATTGATTTAATTTTTAATTTATGAACATAAATTTATTAAAATATTGAAAATAAAACATACAGAATTGAAAATTGAAACAATATGAATTAAAATCTATATCTGTACATTTTTAAGCGGAGTCAATATTGTCATAGTAAAGTAATCAATCTTTCGTAAATACACAAATACCATTCATTAGTTGCTTCCAAAAAATCAGCTGTTACAACACCACTTGCGACGTTGCCAGTTCGAAGGCCGCGGCCTGGAGTTAAAGGCGGCCGTTCTCATTAGCTGAGGGAAAACCATTACCGTAACAATACCAATGCAGCCATCGGCATCGGTGGTCTAGTCGTTAACGTGCCGGGCTAATATGCTGAGAGTCCCGGGTTCAAATCCCACTGGTGGCACTAACTTTTTGACTAAGATTTTTCATTGTCAGCAAGTTTGGTTAGATCGGTTAGGTTATGATATTAATTTTATAATAAAAAATTATAAAATTGAATTTGAGGCATTTATAATTTTATTTTATGAACAGAACTATTTTTGCGATTAGTAAACCTTCATTGCCAAAATACTCTCTACTACAGCGCTGTACACGGAGGATTTTTGAACTATTTAACTAAAGCCTCAATGGTAACTCCCCTAAGTCAGACAGTCAGACCCGTTTCAGTTCAGTTCAGTGTTCAGTCAGTTCAGTTCACTTCTTCTTGTTCTTTCTTCCTGTTGCCCTGTATTTCAACAAGGTATGTCATATTTGTGTCCCATCATATTAATCTATTTTAATTTATAGCATCCCTCTTCTTCAATACATTTTAAAGTTAAATCGAGTTTGTTAATTGTATGCTATATCTTGCTATTTGTTTCAGGTAATCACTCGCACCGAAAATGTCTGACACCGAAGGGTAAGTCCTACAACTTAACCTCCAACTCCCAAGTTCCATTTTGGTTATGTTTACACAAGTCATAGCTACATAGGCTATTTTTCAAGTTTTTTGCAATAACCTAGGCTACTACTTATTTATTTCACTTAAGATGGTATTAGCCCAAGAGCCCATGACTGCTAGACCTTTGTTATTTTATAAAAGCTAAAAGTTTCTAGCAAAATGCTCCTAGTTCAGTTAAGAATGATCGGCATCCATGACATTTGGATTTTGGTTACTTTGGTAACAAAAAGGTAACAAAGGTCTGAAATTTGCAAATAACCATCGTTAGAGTATAACCCTCCGAGTGTTATTTGTCGCTGCAGCGACTCACAAACACTGTTTACGGCGAAGGCTCTATGACTGACAAAATCGGATTGAACTGGATCGAGTTAGGTATCGTTTTATTTTACAGATTCATAGCTTTCTCCGGAGGTCTGTCTCTAAGCGCTATTCATTTTAGTTTCGAAAATATTGTAGCAGACAGCTGACGTGCGTATTTGTAAACAGCCCGGTTAACCTCGGACCGATGACTGATGTGTTTTATTACGTTTATCATTGTTTTAGTGTTAAAAATCAAAAGTAGTGATATACGTGGTGCATTATAAGAAGATTGGAGTGATTTTGAAGGGCTGGTTGATGATCCTGAAGAAGTAGGTAGTGATATTGATGTAAATTAGGCCTATCAGCCAGATTCCTAGCTATGGTTAGGCTATGCATTCTTAGCTAAACGCTATGTACTGAAATCAGTTTTTTGCCCATAACTTATTTATTTGCAAATCTACTTCCTTATATTATTATATATTTGTAATCCTCATAAAATTTAGAACAAAGTGGCTATTTTCAAATATTTATAGGCCTATAATTTATACAATTTCATTGAGCGCAAACTTATTCTTTTTTTTTTCAAAATATGTTTTTTTTACCTAAAATTTTTTTTTGAAACAAATGTTCCTTATGTTCTATGTATAATATTGAAGCCCATGATTAAATTGCATATGATCAAATTGCTAATCCTACAATTGCACGAGAAACTGTAGGCCTATGTATAGTTGGATAATTTTACTACCTAGTTACTCTCTAAAGCAGAACTAGTAAGAGGAGTGGCATATAAAGTCGCCGGCAGGGTCAGCTATTTCCTGAGCTTTTTTAGTAACACCCATCGAGCGAATAGCCTATTTACAAATACAAATACAAGGTCAGTTTATGAACTGCAAGTAAAAAAGCCAAGTAGTGGTTTGTAAAGTCACACAATCGTGTAATTGAGCCTTGAAGAGGGAAATACTGATAATAATCCTTCTTTTAATTCCTTCTTTTAACTTCATTGTGGATGTAGCCTCCGGATTGCCAAATAATATTAAAAAGGTTTAAATACCTGCTATTAAGCAATCCATTTAATTGCAGTTGCAACTAGTTTCGACTCCTATGTGGAGTCATCATCAGGCGGTACAAGGACTTCTTCTTTCTTCATATGAAGAGCGTCATATTTAACAAGTAAAAATAAATAAACATTTACACACGACACAAAACACGTTACGGACACGAAACATTTACTGATCAGTTACGACAACAGACGACGCTAACCCGACGGAGTTTAAGTCCAGACTGCGGGTGGTCATTGCAGTGGTGTACGTCCGTTATCTTATCATCTCAGGTTAGGTCCTAGTCCTGTCTAACACACTTCCACTCTCCAGTATCCTTATGGCAGTGTCATTTATAAAATTTGACGAAAACGTTTGTTAAATAAAAACTAAATAATAACTTAACTTTATAACTTTATAACTTTATAATAATAACTTAATAAAACATCAAAATAAGTTGGAGTTCAAAATATTCAGGAAACCAACATGCACTGACCAGACCATTAACTATGAATCCCATCATCCTTACTCACAAAAACTAGCTGCCTACAACAGTTTTGTCCACCGTTTGCTCACAATTCCAATGAATGAACAGGATTATAATGAAGAATTAAATACAATAAAATACATAGCTGTAGCAAATGGTTATCCAAGCATTATTATTGATAAACTCATCTTCAAACATAAAAATAAAACAGGAACTAAAAAACAGAAAAACTACATCTCTGCAAAATATGGCACCTTCATGAGTAACAAATTTAAAAATCTTATGACAAAAAACAATATTACAGTTTCCTTCAGAACAGAGAACAAACTTGGCGCATTGTTAAAAGAGCGCAGTCCTTCATTGACGCAACCCTTAGACAGATCCGGCGTATACAAGATCAATTGTACCGATTGTACTAAATTTTACATCGGCCAGACGGCACGCTCCTTTACTAAACGTTTCAAGGAACATCTCCCAAAAGCGTCAACAGTACACCAGACATCATCTTTTGCAGAACATTTAATTTCTCAAGGCCATAATTATACCAGCATTAGTAACAACATGAATATTTTACATTTCTCTAAAGACAGATTTAAATTAAACACCTTAGAAGAGTTTGAGATTTATAAGGCAGTAACATCCGACCACGAAAATGTGCTAAACGACCAACAAACGTTTTCGTCAAATTTTATATATGACACTGCCATAAGGATACTGGAGGGTGGAAGTGTGTTAGACAGGACTAGGACCTAACCTGAGATGATAAGATAACGGACGTACACCACTGCAATGACCACCCGCAGTCTGGACTTAAACTCCGTCGGGTTAGCGTCGTCTGTTGTCGTAACTGATCAGTAAATGTTTCGTGTCCGTAACGTGTTTTGTGTCGTGTGTAAATGTTTATTTATTTTTACTTGTTAAATATGACGCTCTTCATATGAAGAAAGAAGAAGTCCTTGTACCGCCTGATGATGACTCCACATAGGAGTCGAAACTAGTTGCAACTGCAATTAAATGGATTGCTTAATAGCAGGTATTTAAACCTTTTTAACCTTCTTTTAAATTCTGGCTTCTTTCTACAGAGAGGTTGTAGCACCCGCAACTGGAGGTCCCACCGACATCAACTCAGCTCTGCAGGAAGTTCTCAAGACTGCTCTCATCCATGATGGTATCTCACATGGACTTCATGAGGCCACCAAGGTTCTGGACAAGTACGTGAATTTTTCCAATTGATTAAAAGCAAGTGGAACTTTAAGTTGTAATCCATTACATTAAAAGGGAAGAAGTTAGTCACTGAGCCTGTTGGCTGGGATAGTGTTTTGTCCTAGGCATTTTGTTACAGAGAATACTAGGACGGTTTTGCGTTTTGAATCCGTAGTTCACTTTAACGCTGCAACCAGGCGTCTCGCCACTTGCTGGCATCATTTGTGAACAGAATGACACAATTTGCAGCTCTGTAACGGTACGTGCCTAGGGGCGTCTGTCATTGAGGGGCGCCCGGCCACGGCAGGTGGTGGGCGGTGCATAAGCGGGCGACGGGCGTGTGGTTGTTAGCAGTGAAGATTATAATAGTATTTACTTAAAAAAAAAAACAGCCCTCGTACTTAAGTTAAAGCATGCTTTCAAGGAATAGTTGGTCAAACATAAATTAATTTAATTTTTATGGATGCACTGCAGGGCTAGTGACCTGGAAAACCTGGAAATGTCAGGGAATATTAAATATCTGGAAAAGTCAGGGAATTTTGTCATAAGTCAGGGAAAATTGTAAAAGGTTTAAAATTATTTTAATAATTGTTAGGAAGGGTCGATCTGGTGAGAGTACGTATGCCGTGTGGGTGAAAACTAAGAAATATGTCTGTACAAATAAATTTTGTGTTTTTGCATATAAAGGTAAGTTGCAAAGTTTGAATATAAGCTAGCCTGTAGCCTATCTATAGATTTTATGTATGTTTTTCATATAAACATAAGATATTCTTCAGATAAAGATTAGTCCTTTTGAAGAATTAGTTAGTAATAAAATTGTAATTTTGAATTTGTCGATCAGGGAAAGTTTAAATCATGGAATTGTTGGGTAAAAGTCAGGGAATTTTTCAATGTGATTTCACTAGCCACCCTGCACTGGTGATTCATCAAATCCCCATCACACTTGTCAGTTAGAGAACTGAGCCACTATAGTTCGGCCGCTTAGAAAACGACCTGCGCGCTAATGCTAAACCAATGCTGGAGGAGGTCACTTTCTAAGCGGCCGAACTATAGGCTAGCAATTCATCCAAGTCTAACATTGATATATTGGCAAGTGGCCGATTCCATAGATTTTTTCTGTGTCAACCGAATTGTCAGATGTATATCTTCACTAAAAAGTGTTTCAACATTGTCGAACGCACCACAGTCCATAAACTTGGTCCAATTTATGCAATGTCTGAACAGGAGGCAGGCCTTGCTGTGTGTTCTTGCCGAGAACTGTGACGAGCCAATGTACAAGAAACTTGTCCAGGCTTTGTGCAACGAACATCAGATCCCTCTAATCAGAGTAGACAACAACAAGAAGCTGGGAGAGTGGGCCGGTCTCTGCAAGATCGACAACACTGGCAAGGCGAGGAAGGTTGTTGGTTGCTCATGTGTTGTTATCAAGGTATGTTGCTTGTTTGATACATAATTAACTGGTTGCTCTTCAAGGTATCCAGTCTTCTGGTAAATCTGGCAATTGTACGTGAATTTGTATTCATGCAGCTTAAACATAAATAGCTAATTGGTTGTGCAATTTACCATTTTTTTATTCCTATATTATTTTACTCTTATATGAGCAATGCTTGATTGTAGGCCTATGTATGCTTGCACAAATATCTCAAAAGCGGCTTTGACGATTTTCTTCAAATGTTGTAAACAACTTATATCTGGCCTAAAAATGTGTTTGCGGCAGTTAAAACTGTCAACAAAAATCAAATTATGTAAAAAATCAAATTGATAGTCTCATTTTTAACATTGGCCTTATTGGTTGCCAAGAACCATGTTGGTTGAAAAAAATAACAAGGAAAAAGTAAACAAAAGACTTGTAACATGTGTTTATAACAAGCCATCCACAGTATACTAGCAAATAACAAAATACGAAGTGACTATTTGCACGTCAAAATAGCGTCACAACCCATTCCCGTTGCAGTTCCAGTTCCAATATTACAAAATAATGTAAAGGGAACAGTTACTTTTTTCACAATTCTATTGGCTCTCAAACACCATTACCACAACGATACGATTATAAGCCTTGATGGTATAGTGGATAGCGTACCAGGTTGAGAAACTGAAGATAGTCAGATCGTATCCTACTGGAGCATTACCTTTTTGTCAAAGATTTAGCGGATGCAATTAAATCTTTTGTTAGAATTTGAGGAATTTATAATTTTATTTTATGAGCAGAACTATTTTTTGAAGTAAACCTTCATTTGATTTTTTTTATCATCAGCAAGTTTGGTTAGGTTATGACAGTTTTAATTTCATAAAAAATATAAAATTATTTTATAATTTTTCTTTATTTTATAATTAAGTATGACGTCATGGATCTACATACATCTAAATAAATATGTCGTTTAGAACAGTCTCATTTCATAATCAATATTAAATTGCGGGCAGAAAACGTGAAGTAATATGTTATTACCCTGCTGCCCATCGTTTATTCAGTTTATTACAATATAGGCTTAGACTCAAAACATGTGAAAACCCCAAAAAATACTGTGGTCTATATTTTATAATCAATAAATTGAATGGATTAATGCATGTTAGATGATTGGTTGAGTTATGATTTGTAGGGTTATAAATAATTGTCAATTTTTTTTATATTATCGTGTTTAAGCGTTACACGATAAAAGTGTTGGTAAGAATAACAAGCAAAAAATAAATACAGTATCTATCATAATTTTATCTTGAATAATCAGTAAATGTATTTTATGTTTCAGGACTACGGTGAAGAGACAGCTGCCCTTGATATGCTCAGAGAGTACATGAAGACACAAGGCGTTGTTTCGTAAAAATGTAAATTATTAAAAATATAAAAATAAATGTTTTTAAAAAAAGGTTTCATCTGTTTTTCAGTTACCAGTCTAGTAGTTGGGAAGAACAGGAAAGTCAGGAATTAGTATTCAATTTCAAAATGGTCTTGAAAAGTCGGGATTTAGTCTTTATTTTGATATCAAAGTCAGGAATTTTCATAATTATGCCGCGATTGCGGACATAGCCATACATAAACAAAAACACTTTGATATACTTTATTATTTGTTCTTTTTAGGTTCTTTAAAAAGGTCTAGAGATAAAAACTGGGAAATTTTGTGTTTTGAGGGTCAAAAATGAGAAAAACCAATGTTTGCCCCATATAACCCCCCGTAAAACCCCGTTTCCATGGTCCGATCATGCTGGTTTGCGAACTCATTCTTATCTCGCCTTACATCTTTAAACTAAATTTCATCGAAATGAGACAAAAATTACTCAAGCTATCGCGTTCATGGAAAGTAAATAAAAGAAACGTCTTATAACAATTAAAATAATTATTTATTAATAAATAATTAGTTATATAACTTAATTTTACGTGTTATAAGACATTTCTTTTAATTACTTTCCGTAAATTTAATAACACGTAGGCCTACAATGCTGATCAAGAAGTTATTTAGTATATATAACCAAAAAAAACTTTTGATACATATATACAAATTTGAACGAATGGTGTTTTTGGCCTTTGGGGACATCAAAATGAAAGTAAATTGGTCCCATGAGACCTACGGTAATAGCTACTTCCCTATGGGGAAATTCACTAAAAACATAGTCTTACCTTTTCACAATTCTCTCAGCTATTTAAAAAGAAACCATCCTATGCTGGTTCTGTTTTTTAAAAACATATTCCAAAAGAAATATTGAATATAAAAAATCAAAACAAGTTCAAAAGTGAACTCATGTGTAGTACGACTTAACTTATGTGAATGCTGATGCTACACAACTGTCAATAAAAACCCTGAACAATTCAATGCAATGAACTGAGTTAGATTAAGGAACTGTGATGCCTATTTATTGTATTGCTGTTGCTGTACAATGTACGTGAAACAAATAAAGAAGTTTTGAATTTGAATACTCTACAGCTTTCTCGGTAGTATTCACTTTACTTTTAAGGAATTCCCCAACAAAGACTTCTACAGTTGAACCTCGTTTGAACGAACCTCGATAAAACAAATTCCTCGATAAGACAATTTTTTTTTTTATCCCCTTGACACTTTCATATAGGTCAATGCTAAAAACACCTCTATACAACATGGTAATTAAGTTAAAAACCTCCATAAGACGAATTTGTTTATGACATGGGCTAGGACTGATTAACCTCTATACAACAAATATTCTTAGCACAAAAACTGAACGTGACCTCTATAAGACGAATTTATCATAATCTTAACCTCCATAGTACGTAGTTTTCAAAACAAACAGAAGCTTGTCTCAACATGAAACCCCCACCCATCCCTCCTCCTTCCTCAGTCATTGTTTGGAGAAACCTTGGAGCGAGGAGAAACCTCTATAAGAAGAATAACAGCAGCATTAAACCTCGATAAAACGACCCTCTTTATTAAATGTTTTATATGGTCCGAAATAAACTTAATTTTTATTCTAACAGATGATGATTAAATAAATTGCAGACAAATGTAAAAATACCCCCGCCGCAGCAAACCTGCAGACTAAGCGAATTTCCATTTGCCTGATTTGATTTTCAATTAAATCTATTCAAATAACATTAGGTATAACGAGCACCTAGGTTTGCTGCCTACAGTGTAATAAAGTGTGTTAAAAAAAACACATATTTTATAGTAAAATATTAATAGCTTAGTATAAAATAAATAGATTGGGCAAGTTTGATCCAAATATATGCATAAACAAGCAAACTACAACAGTTTACTTATTCTCCATAAGAATAACATGGGAATTTTAAATTTACAATTTTTTGGAATTTTCTCCATAACCATTAGGCGCATAATAACGCTTCAATATACTAAATTATTTGTTTTTTTAAGCTCTACAAAATGGTTTGGAAAGAAATTGCTAAATTTTATGTTTTTTGGGTCAAAAATGGGAAAAACCTATTTTTACCCCATAAAACCCCCGTTCCCATGGTCCGATCATGCTGGATCGCGAACTCGTTCAAATAAACGTAGGTTTACACGTTTGTACCAAATTTCATCAAAATCGGATCATTTTTGCTCGAGTTATTGTGCTGACGGACATATATATATATATATATATGAATTTGAACGGATGGTGTTTTTGGCCTCTAGGAACCTCAAAACAAACAAAAAATCGGTCCCGCGTCCAGGTCTTACCATGAGTACTACGGTAATATTCCCTTATATTCCAGCTTATTCCCTATATGGGAAATTCGCTAAAACCCAAAACAAATTAAGTATTCTTCCTATACGAACTCCATGCTAAGCATGACCTTCTGTGTGGCAGGGCCCATTGAGAACTTTGTAAAATCGCTTCTTTTTGTCTGCCTACATTATTTATTTTATTTATTTATTTATTCCAACGGCAAGATCACCAATTTAATGTAGATTCAAGAAGCCTATGTGGTAACAACATGCATTTTAACAGAAAACTTAACAACTAACTTAAATCTATGGCAGGAGTCGACAGTGGTAACAGGAAATATAATCTCGACTATATTATGTTATGAGAGGATGTAAGCAGGCAAAATCTCATGCTTCTAGGTGCTATGGTTTGGTCTGTGCGTTAATCGGAATTTCTCATTTATATAGTTATAGAGAAGTTTTTAAATGGTATTTATTAGACTTTTTCAGCGAATTTTTAATATAGTACTGTACCACCTTTATTTATTAACGGGAAATTTTATTGACCTATCAATTTTACTTCCTCCCCCTATACCATAGTACTGTATTTGGAGAAAGTATTGTTTTTGTCAAAATTTTTGAGTTTGAGTTTTGAGTGGATATATCCGTTTTGGGTCCCCAGGGGCCCAAAAAAGTGGTTTTTGAAGTGATGTCTGTGTGTGGGTGTGTCTGGATGTGTACAGAGCTACAGACCACACCTGTAGTCCGATTTTGATTAAATTTGGTATGTATGTACTAATCCATGGTATCTCCAGGCGTTTTTTTCATTTTTTAGAAATTTTGATTTTTAATGTCAATTTTCCCATAAAAACCCATAAAATGACGGAAAAATCAGATTTGTCAAAAATAGCTCTAACGATTTTGATGAAAATTTAGTATGTTTGTAGCCCTTTAAATTTTGAACAAAATGGTAGAACTCCCATTTCTGTAAAAATTGCGGTTCAAAAGTTATTGCAAATTATGTTATTTTCCCATTAAAAACCCATAAAATAAGAGAAAATCGTATTTTCGAAAGAAACCGGTTTAGATTGAAATTTGTATGTGGTAATACTTATAATTCCAAACAACATAGTGCAACCCCCCATTTCTGTAAAAATTATGGTTAAAAAGTTATTGTAACTTATGTTATTTTCCCATAAAAACCCATTTAAAAAACGGAAAAATGGATTTTTTGAAGATAAACTGATTCTGATTGAAATTCTTCTGTTGTGGTCCTTATAATTAATTCTAACCAAATAGTGCATCCCTTCATTCCTGTTAAAATTACTGTTCATATGTTAGTGAAACTTTTGAGATTTTACCTATTAAATACCAAATACCATAGTTACTCTCATCGCTTACCCATGAAAATGGTTGTTGACAAGCTAATGGGAGAAAGTATGTGTCAGATTTCTGATACCGTTTATTTTATAACGTATACGTTCTTTCCTGGAGGATGTTAACATTGGACATGCTCATAAGTTAATTACTTACACTCATATAGTTAAATATGAAGTAAACTGTGAACGTATTGAGACTTAGCTTAGCACAATTAGTCATTTTTTACTTCGTAAATTAAAAAAGCTATTGCCTTTAAAAAAAAAAACATGAACTCCAATTATCAGTTTGTATTACGTAGACAAGGGACATTGCATTGTCTGTGGTTTTTATAAAATTATGATTTGACTTTGGAGCAAACATTAGATAAAACTAGGTCTAGAAAAAATTTACAAGAAGAAATTAGTTTTTAGAAAGAAGTAAAAATAATATTACATGTTCAGTTTGACATGAAATTTCTCTTTGTGATCTATTTTGTGTTTACGACATTCATGAGACAAAAACAAAGTAATAGAAGAGCTGTCGTAAGACACACGGGCAATGAACCCACCGACAGACGGGGTTAAATTGCAATAGCGCAGGCATGGTTAGTATTGAGCGAGCACCACAAATAGTACTTGTGAAATCAACGTCTTTCTTTACCACCACACACCACCCCTCTCTCTGTGAGGGGCCGGCGTTAAAAAACACCGCCTACTGGCACTAGCTGTCCGCTGCGATTTTAAAACAATCGCATGATCCCATAGGAATGTAGTGTGGTTTTCTCTTCAATTTTTCTTTTAAACATGAGTGTGACCAAAAATGTCGAGGTACTATGTCGAATTTGCAGTGAGGAAAACAACGGAACGAATATTTACGGAGATGAAGGAATACGTAATAAATTGGAAGCGAAAATAAGAAGCTACTTGCACATAGAGGTGAGTGTCAAATTATTGTATTCTCGCTGTTATGTTATAGTGTTTAGTTTACCTATATTACGGATAAAATTATAAAAATCATAGTCGTTCTAGCTAGTCAGTTTTGTTTTGACAAAGAGAGGTTATGTCAACCTTGAAATTGCCCGAGATAGAAAAGTGATTTCACTGTTCGCCTTGGGATCGGGAGGCCATGGACCGCCAGTGAAAGTGCATCCTCTCCATTCATCTCCCCACAACCGTTATGCATCTTAGCTAAATGACCATAATATTGAGACTTTGACTCTCACTTTGTGTAGGTTTTAGTATAAAAATGTTTAATAATTAAGTTAGAAGTGGTTGATAATATTAATTTTGTTTTTGTAAGATTGCAGCCTGAGCTTTGTGCAAATTAATTAGTTTTTCGTAGCCTACATAAGTAACACTAACTTAAGTTATGTTCATTTAACTTAAGGGTAACTTAGTTTGAGAATTTGCCTTATAAACACATTTCCAAAACTAAAATAACTATGTCTATGTAGGCCTATTATGAATATAGGCTATATATTTTTAAGGGTAAAATAAAAAAGGCACAGTGCCTAGCTTACCCTATATAAACATAAGCCCATTTGTTTGCCTTCTACCAAAATTAGGCTATTTTATGCACTTTTTTCCTTTGGAACTTTTGGGGGAAACGACTATTTTCACCCTGAAAATCGCATTTGAATTGGACATCGCAAAAAGCTCTTAGAAATCAACAATTTATTGCACTTGAAAAATTTATTTTTTCCCTCCATATGTTTTCTTATTATAAGTTATTTAGGCTATCTCAAACACTTCCTTCGGACACTTTTTCAGCAAACTTAACTTAGGTAGGTACCGATTTACCTAGAAAACCAGGTTGAAAAGTCGTGAAAAATAGCAAAGTGCCGGAAAAAAGATTTTTGGGTAAACTAAATTTAATTATAATCCAACCTAATTTAACCTAAACCTAAAAAACCCAACCTAACCCACGCTGAGGTTAGCAAAGTGCCAAAAATGACCGATATTGAAATACCTTACATGAAATAACTTGAAATAGATTAGAGCCAAGTAACCTGCTTGCTCTACTGGCCTTGTGTTTCAAACACGGCTTAACTTGAAAAAGGTGAGGCAGGCGGTAGACTGCCTGCCTACTGACCTCAAATAAACGCGGCTCAATCTAATGAAATAAAAAAATCCTTTACTCAAACAGTACCCGTACATTTCTATACATGAATTGTGTCAAGTCAATAATGAAACATAATTATACATTTGAAATATTTACAACTACCTAATTAATTAATTAGCTACAATCTAAATGTAAGTTATACATCTTTCTCCCTTACAACTAGTCCTACAACCATTACAACAAACTATTGATTTGAAAAACTAATAACTAGGCCTAAATGAAAAAGTCCCCAATCCTGTAGCAGCATTTATCTGACAACAATTTGAATAAACTAGTTTTAAATCGTTTAACCCTTCATGGTGCTAGGCAGGCTATTAAAGAATTTAATACCAGAGTAATATGGAGAATTTTCAATGGTGGAAGTGCTATGTCTAGGGTATATAAGGCTCCTCTTTTGTCTTGTGTTATAGCTGTAAAAATCAGAGTTATTTGGAAAATTTTATAAATTTTGTCGGATGTACAAAATCAAACTATAGGGCCTATGCATCTTTAGTGTGATGCAAATTAAGGAGCTATGCAACTTGTCTGTAACAGTGGAATCTAGATTTTAGCTGATATGTGTATTTTCTATCTGCTTACGAAATAGTTTTATCCAAGATTGTATTCTTCAGGTTTCAAAAGATGATCTGCTTCCAAAAACAGTATGCATTTCCTGCTCTGAAAAATTAGATGGACACCACGAGTTTGCCTTAATGGCTTTAAAAGTACAAGACAAACTTTATAGTCTCGTGAATGGCCATGATTATACAAGCTCATCAAAGAAAAAAGAAGAATATTCGGAAGATAGCAATGATGTTGAGGAAGAACAAGAGGAGGTGGATGATGATGAGGAAGATTGTGATGAAGAGGAAAGCGAAGATAATGAAGAAGAGGAAGAGGCAGATTGCAATGATAATGGAGAAGACAATGAAGAAATGGAACATTCAGGAAGTTTATTACATTCTATTTTGACAAACGTAAGTCTACCGGTAAGTAGGCCCTACATTGTTCTGTAAAATGTAACTACAATTACATACTAAGTTGATTCATCAAGCTCAAGTCCAAGCCTATGAAACAGTGAAAATCTTGTTTTCAAACAGCTGGGCCAATGACAAGGGTTAACCTTCAACAGTTGTTGTTGAAGTGAATCCATTATTTTCTAGATAATAATTCATAAAGAAAACATTTTTTCATATAGAAATAGTTATCATCAATATATTCTTTATATGCTTATGTACATTGGAGTCAAAAAATTAGGCCATACCGGTACGAGGTATGTTCAAAAAGTATCCGACCTTATTCAGGAAAGCTAATTTTATTGATCAATTTGTTTTAACATGTGGTCTTAAAAATAGTCCTGTTGGGACCTCACACACTTATTACAATGTTCCTGCAACTTTTTGAAACAAGCCTGGAACTTCTTTCTTAATGGACTTCAGACGAGCTGTCACATTTAGAATTATCTCATTTCTGATCGGAAATCAGGTCTCTTTAAGCGGAATCTTCAAGGTAGGGAACAGCCAGAAGTCACACGGCGCCATATCTGGTAAGTAGGGGGCCTGGCGTAGCACACACTGCATTGCGCATGCGGCGTAGAACTTTGAAGTAGTATTGAATGAAATGAACCTATATTGATTCCAACTTCCGTAGACAGTTCACGAACATTAATACGTTGATCCTCAATCAGTAAAACTTAAACTTGATTAATAACTTCATCGTTTCAACTCGTTGATGTTCTCCAAGAACAAGGTTCACTGTCCACCGAAGTGTGGCCATCTTTGAATCTATTGTACAACTCTTTTTTCATTTTGTTCTTCTCCAAAGGCTTGCTGAAACTTAAGAATCGTTTGAGCTTGTGTCTCGCCCAGTTTTTATGCAAAATTTGATGCAGTATCGCTTTTCCACCCATTCTGTTATTTTGCTTAGTACAAAAACAACAAACTCTATATACACAGTTTCACGGCCGATAACGAACTGACACCATTGATTGATTGATCAAGTAGGGGCGGACGGACCTTGTCCTGTTGCACGTCAGCTACTGATAGGCTTTTTGCGCTCCCCACATGGTACTTCAGAGTCCGTCAAACCTGAGTTGCTTAATGAACTTCAGCATCCTATCTATAAGCTCCTCCTGAGGAAGGTGTCTGCCCCTTGTCGTTGCTCCAAGAGTACTGTCCCTTACCTCGTTCAGAGCTGTGCAGTCGTAGAGTAGGTGATCTGTAGTCTCCTCTGACTGCCCATTTTCCTACTTGTAGTGTCTCCATTGTGGATTCTCAAGCGATGCAGGTGCAATTTCAGAAAGCCATGGCCAGTGACCATTCCTGTGATCTGTCTGAGTTGCCTCCTGTCTAAACGTAGAGCATTGGAGGCGACCGTCTGGGAAGGGGAGAAGAGGGTGAGCTTACTTACCCTGTGGTGCTGAAGCCTAAACCATCTTTTCCGGTGTTCCTTTTGAGCCCATGATATGACTGAATGACATGCATGCCCACGAGAGATTCCACAGAAAGGCTGTGGTCCCACAAAGTCTGAGGCTGACGCGACATTTGCTAGCCTGTCAGCCACCTCGTTCCTTTCTATCCCTGAGTGCCCAGGAACCCAACAGAGCCTTGTTGTGCCAGGAACCTTGTTGCGCCTGCCCAGGTCGCATACTGCAGAGAGGCAGTCCCAGACCACCTTGGAATTGAATTCGTAGGAGTCAAGCGCTTTGAGCTGGCACCGCAGCCTGGCTGTCTGTAAAAATGGATATGTTGATGCCCCTGAAGCCTAGCCTCAGGTTTTCCCTAGCACATTCAATTATCACAGTCATTTTGGCCTGGAACACAGTTAGGTGAGTGTCCATAGGAAGACAAATGTCCACCCCATTCTGCACTCCATGAATTCCAGCCCCTGTCCCACTTCTTACCTTTGAACCGTTAGTATACCATTCAAGGCCATTCAAGTTGATAGAAAGGCCTACCTCTGTGCACCACTGTCCAACTGAGCTCAAAGCTGTATTCATGAAGTCGGAGACCCTGTCAAGGTCAGGTGACCCGCCTTGGACATGCTTTACAGAGTTGCCGTGATCTACGTGCCAGGGTGCAATGCGGTTGTAGGATTACTTGATGAAACGAAAGGTCGGATACTTTTTGAACAGACCTCATATAAGAATTGATTAAGTATGATTAAACTTAATTTGAGCTTTGTGACAGGGTCGACAATCAGAGAGTGCTGAAGGTTCAGAGTCCATGGAGGTTAGAGTAGATCCAATGTTATTCTTCTCTGGGCAAGATGATAACAGTGTGGATGGAGAGGAAAGCACACAAACTAACAAGTAAGTCTTCTAGTATTTGTTTAGGGCCTTACAGGAAAAGTACTGGTAGATGATTTATAAAGTAAAATAGTTATCACACTTGTTCTCAAAGAAGATAGGCTACATTTTTAGCGAATTTCCCATATATGGAATAAGCTATTAACATCGTAGGCCTACTCATGGTAAGACCTGGACTGATTTACTTTTTCATTTTGAGGTCCTCAGAGGCCAAAAACATCCTCCGTTCAAATATTCGGCACACCGATTCTTTGGGAATTAAATAGGAAAACTAAGTAGTTTTTATTCTGATCGGGCTTTCAGGCTCCGCCCCAGTGGCTCTGGAGTTTCCCATGTTAACCTTATGATTTTTCATATTTAAAAGGAATTAATTAATCTTAACAGCTGTTTCAATTAAACAAGTTGGTTCTGTTCTATTATGTTCAAAAGCATTAAAGTTACAAGGACTACCAACAGGGTGCAGCACTATTATTTTTTTAAATTTATGACAACAGCTAACTTGCAACCAAAAGGTGAGTGAGCGTAGCGAAAAAACTTCAACCTGGAGGCGAGTTAGCGTAGCAAACGAGCTAACCTGAAGGCAAGTGAGCGCAGCATACGTTGTGTATACATATATATGTGTCCATTAGCACGATAACTTGAGCAAAAATTATCCGATTTTGATTAAACTTGGTATAAACGTGTAAACCAAAGTCTATTCGAACGAGTTCGCGAACCAGCATGATCGGACTATGGGAACGGGGGTTTATGATTTATGGGGTAAAAATAGGTTATTCCTATTTTTGACCTTAAAAACACAAAATTTTACAATTTCTTTCCAAACCATTTTGTAGAGCTTAAAAAAACAAACAAGCATATGGAAGCGTTTTTGTGCGCCTAATGGTTACGAAGAAAATTCCAAAAAATTGTAAATTTAAAATTCCTATGTTATTCTCATGGAGAATAAGTCAACTGTTGTAGTTTGCTTGTTTATGAACATATTTTGATCGAATTTGGAAAACACATTAATTTCTTACTAAACTATTACATTTTACAAACAAAAAACCCTTTTTTACCCTCCCTGCTGCAGCAAACCTAAGTACTCGTTAAACTAATTCTATTTAAATAGGGTATATATTTGATATTTTTAAGGAGGCATTTTAGTGTAAATCCAATCAGGCTAATGGAAATTCGCTTAGTTTGCAGGTTTGCTGCGGCGGGGGTATTTCTATTTATAATTATTATTTTGTTAAATTACATTTTTGTTTAATCTGTTCTTGATTTGTTAAATATTTAGATTTCTATTAGATTAAGAAATCTCATTGTATTTTTATTTCTTGTCAGGTTAAGTGTAAGAAAGGGACATGTGGCTCTAACTTTGCCTGGTAACATAAAGAATATTTCATTTTCATGTAGGATTGTTTTTGAGTCCTGCAAAGTAGAAATTCCACTTACTTAGAACAGACGTAGCTTTGACTTTAAAAATTATTTGTTTAATAAGCTTGCTCCGCTCAATATTGCAAGCAGATAACTGCATTGTACACCTAGTTTTAGATAAAAATGTCTTGGATAAAAGAATCTAAACTATTGATCTCTTTTTTGTTGTTTACATTCAGAGAGCTGAAGGATGGGAAGCCTTATCAGTGTAGTGTTTGCCCACGAGGTTTCAACTCAGAGATCAGCCTACAGAACCACTTGTGGAGCCACCTGTCTCGGAGAGTCTTGTCTGATACGGACCTCAACTCTCGCCTAAGGTAATACTAATACTCCTATCCTCTTTAGAGATATCTTCCAACCTCAGCTATTGGAACACAACAGATAGCAATTAATTAATTGTTGGTGATAGGTCAAGAGTTCAATGCTGGAGAATGATTTTGAGATGATTTTTTAAATGTTTTTAACATTCTTTTAGTGTTTTTCACTCCAGCATAATTCTAAAAGGCCCTTGTGTCGCTTGAGAAAATAAGCAAAATTGGGTGACGTACCCACTTTTAGATAGGCAAAAGTGGCATGCTTAAGATATGTGCATACATTTAATAAAGATGTTTATTGCATAAATAACATTTTTTCAGTTTGTATAATATAAGTATGAGAGCCGTCCAGAAAGTAGCAGAAGTTTTGCATTGGCGCCTCTGGGGGCGGTGCTATCTTCTACTTTGTCTGCAATGGAATGTAAAAAATTAGTGCTGTTATTGCAATGTCCCGCCATTTTTGAGGTAGGCTCTGTGATCAGATTTTTGTTTGCAAAAATTTACATGCCAATTCAAAATTATCGGCAAGTTTGGGATTCTCACAGCAAAGGAGTAATAAGTGAAGGCTGAGTGAGAAATTGCGCATTGGTTTTAAAAATGGCTTAAAACTTGGTTTCGACTCTTGTCGTAGTCTTCCAGGAATGTCAGTGCTGCAGCAAGCCTCTGTTTTTTTGTGATCATCCGTTCTCCAATCTTTGGAACCCGCACAAAAATTGTCACAACCAATTTTTTTCTGTAATTTTACGAACCACACTCTGTAAATTTGGGGGAAATGTTTTTGAGTTCCACAATTGTGAAACTGTGATTTTTACAGATTTTGTTGTAAACTTTCCTTATTAATTCATTAGACTAGATCTAACAAAGCGGTTCTGATATTTTGTTCGTATATTCTTAAAGTTGATGCTCTACTGTCTCACACAGCATTCACTCCTTTGTGGCAAACATTACAAATCTGGCAATAAATTTCAATTTACTTTTGATTTTCACCAACAAAAACTCACTGAGCATACCTCACATCTGCCAGGATTTGCAATGACAGAGCTAATTTTAACACTACACTGCAGACAAAGAACTAGAGATATGATGCGCTCGCTGTATGCATACCGTTACTGAGTGTAACGCTCTGATACTAAGATGGTGGAGATAGAACCGCCCCAAGCAGCACCAATGCGAAATGTCTGTTACTTTCTGGATGGCCCTTGCGTTATTTGTGTAAATTCACCCACTCTCTGACCACAGAAAAATCTGGATCCAGGCTTAGACCTAAGGAAACTAAAACAGTTTAATATGTATGCATAATATTTTCCATCCTAAACTACCGTGTAAGAATCTCAAATGGCTGTCCAGTGTCCAACCTCCCAATCTCTAAAATCAAAGATCACAGTCTATTTACTTAAAATTAATGTTTCCTCTTTCCCACCTTCCAGGAGTAAAGGTGGAGGCAAGGGCACTGTGTACTCGTCCAACGGTGTGCTCCACACTGTGGGAGGCCTCCCTGTGACTCACCCTCACCAGTGCCCCATCTGTGGACGACTCAGCTCCACCAAGGGCAACCTCAAAGTACACCTAGAGACTCATCGGCCCAAGGGCAAGTACGCCTGCGATATCTGTGGAAGGATGTAAGTAACACTACCGTTACTTAAGTTGATCAAACATCGTATAAGAAAATGTGTAGCTGTAGCCTATGTCAAAGCTAAATTATCTTTTATTATGACATCAATTTTTATTTTTTATTTCTGAAGGTAATATTCAATGGGAAGCATTTTTTTTGTGGCTTTTTACAAACAGAAACTTCAATAATTGTAACTTCATTTTGTGGAAATACCTCAAATTTATATCTGGAGACCTTTTCATATCATTACAATTCGAGATGGGGACGCCACCTTTGTGTGTATTTTAACCCAAATATGAGTAAAAGATGTTTGTATGTAGAATGCCTTGTGTAGCTTTATTACTGACTAATACCAGCTTTTTTATTAGTCAGAACCATTTATTAAAAACCCAATGCTCAATGACAGCCGGGTCCAGTTTCACACCATCAAACAGCTAAACACTTTTCTCAGGATCTAACCAAACTTTGTTTCTACACGGTCCGGTCGCGGAAGATTTACATGATCCAAAATAACCCAAACTGTCTAGTTAGAAATTTTTATTGCAGCATTTTTTCTTTACTTGAAAAAACACCCTATTATCTTAATAATAGTTTATGACATAAAGAGTATCATGAGACTATGTTGAGTTGGTGTACCTAGTATAACAAAATTATTTTAAAAATTTGGTTAAACTATAAAAAGTTGGTATTGGTATCAAGAATTGAGAATCGATACATTTTGTTATCAGCATTCAACACATAACTAATTGATGAAAAAAACTAGTCTTGAAAAATCTGGAATTAGTCTTGAATTTTAAAATGGAAATAAACTAGACACCCTGGTCCTTATAATTCTAAACTAAATAGTGCAAACCCCCCCCCCATTCCTGTAAAAATTAAGGTTCAAAAGTTAATGCAACTTTTGTGATTTTACCTATTAAATATCATAGTTACTCTCATCGCTTACGCATGATAAAGTTTGTTGACAAGCTAATGAGAGAAGGTATGTGTCAAATTGCTGATCCCTTTCATTTTACTTTCTCCTTCTATACATAGTATCTGGAGAAAGTATTGTTTTTGTCAAAATGTTTGAGTTTTGAGTGGATGTATCCGTTTTGGGTCCCTCTGAACCCAAAAAAGTAGTTTTCAAAGTGATGTCTGTGTGTGTGTTGATGTGTACAGAGCTATAGACCACGCCTGTCGTCCGATTTTGATGAAATTTTGTACGTAGTACGTACTATTCTATTTTATCTCTAGGGGTTTTTTCCATTTTTTTAATTTTTAATTTTGATTTTCTTATAAAAATCCAGAAAATAACAGAAAAAATGGGTTTTCTGGAAGATGGCTTCAAAGATGTTGATAACCATTTTGTATGTTATAGTCCTTTAAATTCTGAACAAAATTATATAAATTCCATTTCCGTAAAAATTATGGTTGCAAAGTTATTGTAACTTGTGTTATTTTTATTTTCCCAATAAAACCCATAAAAACAAAAAATTTGATTTTAGAAAAAAGGCAGTTTTTTAAGTAGGTTATGTTCCGTAAAATTTGAAAAAAAAGGTACAGATCCCATTTCCATAAAAAGTACGGTTCAAAAGTTATTGTAACTTATGTTATTTCCCATAACAAGCCCATAAAATAACAAAATATCAAATTTTAGAAAAAAAGCCGGTTTTGATTAAAATTAATGTGTTATGGTCCGTATAGTTCTAAACAAAAAAAGTGCAAACCCCCATTGCTGTGGCAATTACGAGTCAAAAGTTATTGCAACTTTTGTGATTTATCCCTATATAGAATTTAATAGTTACACTCCCATAGTAGTAGTTACTTATGGGAGAAAGTATGTGTCAGTTTGCTGATACCGTTTATTTGTTCTACTATACAATTCTTAACCTAAACAAAATGTAAACATTGATTGTTAAAAGAAAAATTTCAGATTTAAGACACAGTCTAACCTGTATCGCCACAAAGAGTATCATGGAGGGGACCAGTTTACATGTGAGGTTTGCGCTCGAGTGTACCCTACCAAGAGCACTCTGCGCGCGCACAGTATTACTCACAGCGACCTGCGGCCTCACCAGTGTCCGCTGTGCGACAAGACATTCAAACGTAATCAGGATCTCAAGGTACATTCATAACAAATTTACAACATAACTTATCATGGTGTTGTCTTACAGTCATAATGCACAGTAGAACTCTGATTATCCAAACTCCAATCATCTGGCTCCCAAGGGAAAAAAATAAAACCATTCAATAATATAAAGTTAATTGCAATTTATTTTTCATATTGTAATAATCCATTTTGGTGAATATTCCTTATAACCGTAGGTCTCGTGGTAAGACCTATACCCGGGAACCCTTGACTTTCATTAACACACTGACGGACCAAGGCGTGCATCCACGCCCTACGACACTAGCGCCAGACGTGCGAGACACTGACCCGTGCTCATACCTGACTTGTATTTCATTGTTTTTTTTCGCTACCTGAAATAAAATCAAGCTCATCCACGGAAACGTCACCTTCATCCTCCAACTGTTTCCTCGTGGCGCCATACAAATGCCCTGATTTAGTCCTAAGGCTACGTTTAGGCCAGGCGAACACAGTCAACTTTGAGTCTAGCAACAGTTGCCCGACCAAAATGTTCAGCAGTGCGCACACCAAGGAAACAGTCGGGGGGACAGTCGCACAACTGTTGCAACTGTTCCCAATTTGCCAGAGACAGCTCTGCGACTAAATTGCATTTTTAAGTATGAGTTTGCGTGTTGAGGACGTTGAACAATTAATTTATGAAACTGAAAATAGACTGCCTTTATGTTTAGTGTCATTGAAAAACTATTCTGATATCAACATGAAGAATACGTTGTGAGAGGAGGTATCCTAGGCAGTTACAAAAACAACCCAATAGAACAATCTAATCCTCTTCTTTTTTCGCGCGCGAAACTTCAAGATGCGCGAAAATTCAACACAAGTTACTTTAACTGTTTGAAGTAACGAAGGTTTACATATTTGTACCAAATTTCATCGAAATCAGATCAATTTTGCTCGAGTTATCGTGCTAACGGACACACACACACACACACACATATATATATTTATGAATTTGAACAGATGGTGTTTTTGGCTTCTAGGGACATCAAAATGAAAAAGTAAATCAGTCCCGGGTCCAAGTCTTACCATGAGACCTATGGTAATAGCTTATTCACTATATGGGAAATTCGCTAAAAGAGACGCCACAACAAGAAAATGTTGATTGTATTATTTTTTGAGAATTCATCAGATTTTGCAAATGTCAAGGCGTGGCGTTTTGTTTTGAGCTGTGTCATGTCCTTCCTGTCTAGTATAGGTTTCCATTTGATAACATAGAAAATCACCTGAAACTTGTCTGTCCATTTCTTTCCTTGTCCTTTCCTGTGTGGTGTAGCCCAAGCTTCGTTGGAGTTCTACTGTAGGCCTACCACTCAACGGTGCAATTTAAAATGGTTAGGACTTGCAAAGATGGTCAAAATATTCAAATTTTTCCTTAATCCTAATTCTTTTGGTGATGGGGGCAAGGAGATGGTTCATCTGATTAATTCACCCTTTATCTCTGGAATTTGTCCACACAAACTAAAAATAGCCAAAGTAATACCAGCTCTAAAAAAGGTGATCCTATACAAATTTTAAATTATCAGCCCTTATCGTTGCCCGTAACATTCCCAAAAATCTATGAGAGAGCCATGCACAATAGGCTATTGGCATATTTAGAAACAAAGGGTTAGTTAGATGAATTGCAATGGGAGATTAACTGGGACTGCAACAGAATTTGTGTAAACCATTCTAAATTCAATAGATAAAGGTGAAACATGTATTGGCATCTTTAAGTACCTTAAAAAAGCATTTGATAGTGTTTGCCACAGTAAGTTGTTGGAAATTCTAACGAATGTGGGGATTAACAATATTGCTCACCATTGGTTTCAATCATATATAAAAAAAAACAGAACTCAATAAGTAGAATTTTCACACACCTACAAAAACAGTACAACAAGAATAACATCAAAACTTGAAAAAAAATCAAAAAAGGTGTACATCAAGGGTCAATTTTAGGACCCTTACTGTTCATAATCTACAGCAACGGTTTAAACCAAACTCTAGTAAATAAAAGGAAGAGAAAAATAATTCTTTGTGCAGATGATTGAAACTTAACCCTCCGAGTGTCCCTTGTTTTGGCCTTAATGTCTGCCTATTTTTAGCTCATTTGCAAGGTTTTATTAAAACGGATCTGAGAAGCTTAAAAACAATGTTAATTATACTGTTCTATATACCATTTTGTTTGGAAAATCATGGGCTTCAGTATTATATATAAAACATAAGGAACATTTGTTAAAAAAAAACTTTTAGGTAAAAAAAAATATTTTGGAAAATAAAAATAAAAAAATAATTTTGCGCTCAATGAAATTGTATAAATTATAGGCCTATAAATATTTGAAAATAGCCACTTTGTTCTAAATTTTATGAGGATTACAAATATATAATAATATAAGGAAGTAGATTTGCAAATAAAAAAGTTATGGGCAAAAAACAGATTTCAGTACATAGCGTTTAGCTAATAATGCATAGCCTAACCATAGCTAGAAATCTGGCTGATGATTTACATCAATATCACTACCTACTTCTTCAGGATCATGAACCAGCCCTTCAAAATCACTTAAATCTTCTTATAATGCACCACGTATATCACTACTTTTGATTTTTAACACTAAAACAATGATAAACGTAATAAAACACATCAGTCATCGGTCCGAGGTTATAACCAAGCTGTTTACAAATACGCACGTCAGCTGTCTGCTACAATTACGATCGGCTCAGAGAACATAAAGCGCTGAGACAGACCTCTGGAGAAAGCTTAGAATCTAACAAAAAGAACGATATCTAACTCGATCCAGTTCAATCCGATTCAGTCAGTCATAGAGCCTTTGCCGTAAATAGTGTTTGTGTGTCGCTGTAGCGACACTAAACACTATACTAAGTGTGTTATGTGTCGCTGCAGCGACAAATAACACTCGGAGGGTTAAAGATATCAGGAAAAAATGTGAGGACATAGAATCTGTGGCAAACTCTAAAGTCATCAAAAACCATAAGGTTTTTAATTGAGCATAATTTATTTTTAAATATTTAAAAAACTAATTATGTTAACTTTTTTGCCTAAAACAAAACAGTTGCTTTCCCCAACATAAAAATTGATAATACATCTTTAGAACCAGTTCGACAAACAACCTTTTTGGGTCTAAATATAGACAGCAGTCTCAGTTGGTACTCCCATGTGGAAAAAGTACTGATTTGACTTCTTGACTTATTTCCTGTCACTCCTTAGCGGAGCATAAGACCTCTATGGAACAGAGCCAAAGGACACGATTAGCAGCCAATGCCTTTACTTCTCTCCAGCTCTTTCCCGCATCTCTGATTTCGGCTTCAATTGTTCTCCTCCACGTTTTTCTCAGTTTTCCCCTCCTCTGCCTCTGGGGATTCCAGCTCAAGGCCTGTTTTTCTACGGCGTCTTGATCCTTGTGCAGGGTGTGTCCTACCCATTGCCACTTCCTTTTTTTTATTTGTAGATCTATGGGATCCTCTTTGGCGGCTGTCCACAAGTCTTAAAAAATACTGGCTAAAATTAATTCAGGTCTGTCTGCTCTCAGGTTACAAGAAATATATGTGATCTGACAACGCTAAAAATTATCTATTATGTTATGATTCATTCTCATTTAGCCTACAATATATATGTTTATGAAGCAACCACTATAAAAAATCTGAAAAAAATATTAAAAATAAAAAAAAATCAATCAGAATAATGCTAAATATGGAATAAACTGACCATGTCAAAGATTAATTTAATGAAATAAGAACTATGATGGTATAGTCCTCGCCACCCTAAGTTGAGGCAGCCCAAGACCGCACGGCGTGTATCTAGTGCGGCCTTTGGCTGCCTCAACTTAGGGTGGCGAGGACTATAGTCTTAATGTATATGAAACTATTGTTTACTTAAAACAAAATCAAGAGCAATTTGACACTGGTCAGTTGATCCCCCATTACAATACAAGAAACAGTATAAAAATAAGGTTGCAAAGTCACCGATTAAAAATGTTTCAGAAAAAGCCAAATTATATCGGATCTAAATTTGTTAACAAAATTTCTCCCATAATAGATCCAAATGAACAGTTGTCAAAATTTAAAAGAAAATTAAAAGAACATCTAGTTTAGAAAGCATTATACTCACTAGATGAGTTTTTAAATAAGTAGTGGCCTTAAATTGATTATTTGCCAACATAAACTATGGTGTTTTTAACGTTATAAAAACCAATTTTCAAACCGAAATTGTATTAGCTTAGTTATAAGGATTAGTTTTAAGAAATGTTGCATTCAATGTACTAACGCTATGTACAAAATAATGAATAAAGTATGTTTTGACTTTGACTTTGCTGTTCTAATACTCTGAATGTACTGTACAATTACAATGAGTTTGTGTTTTCCAGTTTCACATCAACCAACACACAGGCGCCAGACCATACAAGTGTCCGTTTTGTCCCAAAGCTTTTGCAAGTTCTGGCAATTGCTTCTCTCACCGCAAAAGAATGCATCCCGGGGAACTAGAGAGGTACAAGGAGATGGCGAACGGCTACGTCCAGTAACTGTGATAAATACAGGTCAAAGTCTGCCAGTAAAGTCCGACCAACATGTTGGTTGAAACCTTTTGGTTGAAAGGTTGGGTGGTTTTATATGATACAGAAATACATTTACCATCTCAAATGAAAAAATAAAATATGGTTTGGCGTATCACAGAGGAAAATCTCCAACACATATAGATTTAGTTATTCTCTTGTAAGAGACCTATCTTTTTTTACTTATTGGGTGTTATCCATAGCGAAAGGTAGAATCACCAGGGCTTGGAATGTTCACATAGCTATAACTCGATGGAGGTTGGCAGGATTTGAACCGGGTCTCTAGGACGGAAATCCAGTGCTCTAATCATTATCCCATTGCTCTAGAGGCGAGCACCTAGAAAATAGGATAAGGCTCATACCAATCACGAGGAAAAGGAGGAGAAGGCATGTTATGTTGTTTTTCTATTAGGGCTATAGTCTTAACAACGCCATCTTTATTCTAAAATACCCCCGCCGCAGCAATCCTGCCGACTATGTGAATTTCCATTTGTCTGAATTGATTTTCAATCAAATCTTTTTAAATAACATTAGGTTTAAAGAGTTCCTAGGTTTGTTGCTACAAGGAAACTAATAAAGTGTGTTTTTTTAGTAAAACATAAATTTGCCAAGTTTGACCAAAATATATCCATAAACAAGCAAACTACAACATTTTACAATATTCTCAATAAGAAAAACATGGGAATTTGAAATTTACGATTTTTTAAATTTTCTCCGTTTCCAATAACCGTACAAAAACCCTTCGATATACTAAATTATTTATTTTTTAAGCTCTTTAAAAATGTCTAAAGAGAAATTGGGAAATATTGTGTTTTGAGGGTCAAAAATGAGAAAAACCATTTTTACCCCATAAAACCCCCTGTAAAACCTCGTTCCCATGTCGTCTGATCATGCTGGTTCGCGGAATCATTCAAGTTTATCCCGCCTTAAACCTTAAAACGAAAATTCATCAAAATCTGACAAAAAATTTCATGGACATATATATATATAAATTTGAACGAATGGTGTTTTTGGCCTCCGGGTACATCAAAATGAAAAAGTAAATCGGTCCCAGGCCTAGATCTTATTGTGCCACCTACGGTAATAGCTACTTCCCTATAGGGAAATTCGCTTAAAAAAAGAGAGGCTTTAACTGATCTTGAAATTTATTTTTTTATCCAATCAGGAATCCTTATAGTTTACACAAGGCTGTTATATGAGCTGTTAGCCTATATGAACAGAAGATTTGGCCGAGCACACTTAAAGACTTTTGTTATATGACTATAGCTATACACTTATAGACTATAGTTTTATGAGCACACTCGTATAGTTTTACAATTCCTTTTCATTCGTCGTTTTATTACTTCTTGTATAGTTAATTGAAAAAGTACAAACAGAAATTAGTACGAGTAGTAACTTGCTTTTTAACTCACCCTCTCCTGAGATCGGTTCTTATCAAATGTTTAAGGTCTCATAATACAAGTACTTAACTTAAGCGCTTGAGGTGTTCTCTAAACATGTTGGTCCGACTTACAAGGCATTTTTATTCTTTACAGGATATACAATATTCAGCTTTAGACAATAAATGTATATTTCACACACACAAGGGCATTTCTTTACAATAATGTGATACAGGTATTTATTATTTTTTGCAGTTGTTACTCCATAGATACAGGTTGTTATACAGAATAATATATCTGTTTAGTTGAAATAGTTACTCTTTGCTCACAAGAATGTTATTCACATAGTTATTAATTAGCAAGGAATATACATTTGTCTCAAGATATCAACTAACCTTTCAACAAAACCAACCTTTCAAATAATTATTTTGTTTGAATGAATACTTAAAAACCCCAATTCAATTCTTATGAATTATCAGTGTGTATTTTAAGCTTAATATGAATACAAGGTGAGAGTAAAATAGAGTGAAATTTTCTGTGTAGCTTTGTTACTGACTTTAAGCTGTTTCATTGTCAGGATTTCATTTATTAAAAGCCCAAGGACATCTGGGCCCAGTTTCAAACTATCAATAAACTACTCACTTTTCTAAGATCAGCAACCTTTTGGTTGTTAGGCGAGCACTATAACCTTAGCTTTATTTTATGACTACTTACCTCTGTAGTTCTGTAATCATTACTTGAATACACTTAGGTTACAAATCACTAATTTACCATTACGAGAGTTTGAATTAGTCAATTATTGAATTGACTACAGGCTTTTAAGTCGTTTCAAAATTGGACCCAGTTGACTTTTAATTTTGGGCTGTAAATATGATAATCCTTGTTCGAGAAACATTTGATCTTAGTCAGTTACAAAGCATACACCATTGTCCTCCACTCATATTCTGTTTAAAATGTACTACATTGCATTACTGTCTTATGAAATGATAGATGAATATATTATTTTTATTTGTGTGTTGTGTTGTAGCCATTGGCAATTTTTTAAAGTTTTTTTGTACGGGAAAGGACCTCTAATCTTGTTACGAGGGTGGTTTTTTAATTAAGTGCCGCTTTTGTGTATAAATCTGTAGTACACTTCTATGCCACAACAAGGGTTCTCGCCACAAACTGACATCATTTGTGAACAGAATGATCCCGTTTGCAGCTCTGTAGCTGACATGTACACTTCGCTGTGTGTTTAGTAGTGTTATTTAAAATGGGCGTGAAAATGTTTATTTTTGAAGAATTTTTTTAGTGGGTACATAGACTTCTCACAGAAGACCACAAAGAGAAAATGATTTTTTTTACACGGTGAAAATGATTTTTTTTTACTTTTTACCACAGCCATTTTTACACTTCATAACAAGGAGCCTCGTTGCGACATTTGAGCGAACTACAGATTTATCTTCAAAAACAGCCTGTACTTGGAAAACCGTCCCTCTTACTGATGATGTTCTTTTGTTAGAATGCATTATTGAATGATTGTGTCCTAATCATTGAATAATACATGTTTTACACATTAAATTATTCAAATATTGTGGATTGATTTTATTATAATAATTTTCTTTGTAATTTGTTAACGAGGTATGTATGAGGTATGTTGAATGGGTTAACATAGTATATTCCTTGTTCTTGCACCAAACTGAATAATTATGCAAGCCATACTCCCATTATAATGACAATTTTCTTTGAGTTTCACTTTTACATGCCAATGTATGTGTTGCCATTATGTTATGATATTATGTTGTTAGTTATTAGTTGATTAACCTTTTAGTATTCAAGTTTTTACTTTAAACCGTTTTATATTTCAGTTAAACATTTTGATGTTTTTATTAAATCCTCAGGTAATTTAAGTATTGTTTGTAATTTTTTTACTATTTATGCTTGTTTATGAAGTGTTGAACTCCCTTTTTTTAAACAACTCCCAAAGCATGCTAATTTAGTTTCTTTATGATAATGATACTTATATTTAACATTGTGTGTTTTTAACTAACTTTAGTTTTATAACTTTATTCTTTCTTAAATATTATGCAAATTTAATATAGTTTTATAATTATTTTTAGTGAGTTACTATTTTGTTTTTATTTACATCTTCATTGTTATACTTAAGTTAAACTTTATGAGTAGTTTTGTACTTATTCGTTGGAGTGTGCAATCATATATTAAGTTATAAGATATTAAAAACAATTTTCCTAGTCAATAGTATATTGCTAGTCATTTTACTGAACAATAATTTTACCAAAAATTTGTTGTTGCATAGTTTTACTGGAATTTTACAAGTCCAAACAGACAATACCTGAACACAATATCAAGAAATGACTATATACTTGATTATAGTTTTTTAGATCATCAAGGTTTGTGTTCATTTATTTTACAAAAGATAAAGTTACTAACCTGTCGTCCATCAATCCTATACATAAGTTTTGTAATATATGTTCTTTCTTTTTTTAATTTAATATTTGTTTATTGTTTCTGTTACTTATACTGAGCTTAATTGTATAATCTACTAACAATATAGTTTTAATAAACATGTCATTGGTAATTATTACAGTTGAATAAAATATTTTCGGTTCTTTTCCATTAGTTCATAACCACGGTTTTTTCTCTTTCTGTTCTACCATTTGAAATAACAGTATTTACAAAAGAAGATGTTTTGGGTACTTTCATTTTCAAATATTTCTGGGGGAGGACCTCCTTTCCTGGCCCCAGGCCCCCGGTGACCCCCCCCCCCCCCCAAAAAAATATAGGTCTAGGACCGCACTAGCATAGTGATAACTGGATGCTATGCTTTGGCAGCAGGCAGTTTCCTCATGCTTTCCCAGATTCATGAATACAAGATAAGATTCCTCCAAAATAAAGACAAAACTGGACATTTTTCACATTTTCGTTTACGACAGAGTTTTTCTCCAAATGAGTCTATCAATACATATTGTGATTCTATATCTCGTTAATACCCTATCATAGACCTAACATAAGCTAACTTGTGGTATGAGCGGAAACCAAGCATAAAAGAATAATGGTGGTGAATTAACGGAAAAGAACAGATTTTTCTTCCAAAGGAGTTGGCGTGTATTTGAGAGGATATTTTCTAGTGACTTATAAGTCTGATCGTACAGTCTGTAATGTACAAAATGTTGTTTAGTCTAGTCTTAGCTTAGGTTATTTTTGTCTAGTTTTAGAATATAACAGGACTTGATTAGTCAATCTCTTATTATTCATTTACTTCTGTCCGTGACAACACAGGTATCCTCAGAACACTGTGCCAATTAAAGTTGCTAAAAGTTTACAAACTTAACTGTGAGTAAAGTTTTATCAGGAGAACAGCACTGAATCAGAATGTTGCAAACTATCCCAAGAATAGTGGTATTCAAAGAACAAATATTCACCAATATTTTATGGTTTGTTGCAAATTATCCAATTTTGTTAAATTTTAAATTACAGTATTTACTAAATATGGGTTTATATATGTATTAAATAGTTTGATGTTCTGTACTGAAAGGAGAAAAAACATTTGTTCTTTTGATACATTAGCTTGCAGCATTGGCCAGTGCAGAATATAACCAAAAAACTAATTAATGTGTACCAAACTGGTTCTTAGAGGGGTCCCATACACATCTTCTATTAAAACCAAGTTTAAATTGTAAAAAAATGTACCTAATCCGTTCATAACGTAAGAATGTTTACATTAATAAGTTCGAAAAAAGGTCGAAAGAACCATTAAGTAGCAGATTTAAATCACAGTCTTTTTTTGAATCAATCCGATTACAAATAATATTTTCACTGTCGGGATCAATGCTTTCCTGATATTGATAAAAACGGTGTTCTGAGTGAAATGCTTATTACACAATAATTGTTTCACTACTCGTCTACAACCAAAGCCTTGTTTATGTGCCTGCACCAGCAAACCGACAGATCTTAATGCAGCAACCAGCCTTGTTTTCATTTTTGAGCTGCTTTTGTTAACACATCCATAATGAAGACTTGAATAATCGTGTAAAATATGATTATAATATTTATTATACAGTTACACTTTTGTAGGATGGTGTTTTATTTTTAGACAGTTTCTGTACAAGTGCCACTAGTATTTATAGACACATTTTGCTGTAGTAACGTTTAATTTTCACATAATATATGCATTTTGCACCACATATGAGGTTAATCCTGGTCGGTCTTTAATGGTCAAACTGTGTATTGTGAAGTTATTGTCTTTGCTTGGATTATTGCGTAAGTGAAATTTTTTCAACAATTTAATACTACTGAATTTAGGTACAAGTCTATAAAATTAAATACTCCTTAATATTCGCCAAATGTAAAGCTTTGTATATGACGAGAGACTAGGTTTGGAAGGTTTTCACAAATATAAGCAAGCTAGGCAAGGCACTCACTGCAGCTTGACTTTGAGAAAATTCCCTTCATGGGTACTCTTTAGGTGTGATATCATTTTACATTCAAAAGTGTGATGAATGCGCAAATGTATGCAAATGCATCACTGTATTCTAACCTACTACGAAATTTTATTACTCACCCCAAATCTTGGTTGCGTTTAAAGAAAGAGAGTATGAAGACTTTCAAATTTTTTTTATGTATGTTTTTACAATTTACTGTAATGTAGTGTATATTGTAATACAAACTGACAAGACTATATTTGAATTTTTTCAATCAAGGGATATTATTTATAATATGGAATTGTTTTATTATAATATCATATTTTTTATTTGGTAGGGGTTATTATTTTCAACACACTTGTCAATGATATACGTCTTTGGGCTTCTGTTGATAAGAAACATGGAACACTCTCCATTGCTAGCACCTCCATTGCGGGGCATTGCAGTTTAAAATTCCCAGAATTTTACTAGAATTGGCAGTTGACATGCTAAAGTAAGGGCTGACCTGTATGTATAACTAAAACACTAATAAAACGTTTGCTCTCGACTTTAAATTGAAAATCAAAACTTATGATAAGTTAGTCTGTTCTTCCTTTCATGCTTAAGAAGTTAGTTATTTCCCTAGTCTCTAAAAATAAATAATGTACAAATAAGGTATATGAAATGTAATTATTATAAAGTATATTTATTTCTCAAGGATTCAATTAATTATACATGATTGAGTAGAGAGGATTGAATGTTGCACCAGTAAAAATAAATATTATATTTTTATCACCGGTAGACCAGAACAACTATGCCACATTGTACTGTATGCATGGCATTTAAATTAGTTGAAAAAGAGTGCCAAGTCTGGATGAGTGTGTAATAAAATTAGTTTTGTGTGTTGTCGTAAATTTACCAACCGACAATGGATTTAATAAAAATATAAGTTTTACATAATATTAATGGGTTTTATTCCTTCCTCTAGTCCATCAAGTATCTGGTATATTAATATCATTGTTTTAACCTACAAATGTTATCACTTTCCTTTGCTCAAAGTATCAATGTTATAAAAATCACTACAATAAAGAAAGAGGAAAGAGAAATGTCTAACAGAACACGTATCCTTTGCCTTCTTATGCAAGTTGTCAAGGACTATTCAATTCCTAAAAGTCAAAAGTCCTTCATTACAATTAATGTGAATTTAATTAATCTTAAAATAAACAAAAAGTAAATACTCTTCATAAAGCTACATCCAAAGACGATGAGTTTTTAAGTCACACCTACATCCAGAAACAACCATTTTTAGATTTTTCAAATTTCTTGACTCTGTTTGATAAAATCTCACTTTTCTCAAATTTTTAAATGAGCTTTCATAATGATATTTGTAATGGTCTTTTTAGACAGCATAAAATATTATACCAGAAAACGTATAGTTTGTTACAGCCAAATACATATAATTTCGACTTGGAAATATCTAAGGCCGTCGACAGTCGACCGCCTAAAAGTGCACCACAACTTGCTTAAGAAAACTTTTTTATATGTTGTGTTAAAAACTATCAAATATTGTTAAAAACTTCTCCGAATTTTAAGCATTAAAGTAATATACAACATGTGAGATTTTAAGCCTGCCTTAACATAGAGAAATATTGTGTTTAAACATAATACCCCCGCCGCAGCAAACCTGCCGACTAAGCGAATTTCCATTTGTCTGAATTGATTTTCATTAAATATATTTAAATAACATAGGGTTTAACGAGTACCTAGGTTTGCTGCTACAAGGAAACAAATAAAGTGTGTTTTTTAGTCAAATATTAATAGCTTAGCGTAAAATAAATTAATTTGCCAAGTTTGATCAAAATATATCCATAAACAAGCAAACTACAACATTTTACAATATTCACCATAAGAATAACATGGGAATTTAAAATTTACAATTTTTATAATTTTCTCCGTTACCAATAACCGAACAAAAATACTTTGATATACTAAATTATTTGTTTTTTTAAGCTCTTTAGAAAGGTCTAAAGAGAAATTGGGAAATTTTGTGTATTGAGGGTCAAAAGTGAGAAAAACCAATTTTTATCCCATAAAACCCCCCGTAAAACCGCGTTCTCATGGTCCGATCATGCTGGTTTGCGAACTCATTCAAGTTTATCCCGCTTTACACCTTTAAGCCAAATTTCATCAAAATCGGACAAAAATTACTCAAGTTATCGCGTTCACGGACATATATATATATATATATATAAATCTATATATATATATATATATATAAATAAATATATATATATATACATTTAAACGAATGGTGTTTTTGGCCTCTGGGGACATCAAAATGAAAAAGTAAATCGGTCCCGGGCCTAGGTCTTACCATGCCACCTACGGTAATAGCTACTTCCCTATAGGGAAATTCGCTAAAATTAATCTATTTTCAAATTGAATTTTAATTGAATTTTTTTTTTATTGAAAT